GAGGCCCTTCGGGCCCCCCTTAAATACGCCACTGTAAGTACTGTCTACTTAAAATATTCTAAAATGGATATATTAATTATATGTTGTTGAAGAGTAACACCAGGCATTGTAAGGTTAATCAGTTCTCATAGCTCACATAATAAACTATGAACTAAAAAAAATCAATTAACAAATAGTTTATAGATTTTATAAGGATTTAAAAACAATATTATATGTATAACCTTTTATCCTTATAGTCTAAATTAAAGCTTTTGTAATATTTTCATTTTTATTGAGTTACATAATCAAATTATTTAATATAAAAAATATCTACAGCAATGCAATCTTAATATACTTGTTCAATTTTATCAATTTCATCTCCACTTTTTATTAAATTTAACATTTGTTTTTTGGCCTCAAAACATAATATGCCTACAGCTGTAGCAGAGTTTAAGCTTTCTATTCCATTTTCAAGTGGAATATTCACGCGGATACCTTTTCGTGATTTAGCAAACTCGTAACCTTCATCACTCAATCCATGTGTCTCACCTCCAATAATGAGTATCAAAGGAGTGGTTTTACAATAATCTATTTCATAGTAAGGAGCTATTGGCAATTCAATTGGAGCTGTTTTTCTAAAAACATTTAAATTTATGTCTTCATCAATATTTGAATAATCACTGTTGCTCACATAGTTGTTATCAGCCAAACAGACTTGACCTTTGATATTTTCTAAAAAGTTCCAGCTGGCATCTGATATTATTTTCATCCTGAAATGTGCACCACAACCGGCTCTCAATACTTTATCTCCCCATAAATTAGTACAACCTAAATAACAAGGATTATTGGTTTTGAAATACAATTCAAAGTATAAAATGTAACATTATTGGGAGTGGGTACCAATAAATGTTGTCTTTGTCATTCACATGACTTGCAAATTAATAAAAACTATTCACCAATACAAAAAATATAATAAAGCAAAAAATATTAAAAAAACACATTTGAGTACGATAAACATACTTTTTTGAATTTTATTTATTATTTTAAAATTAACTAAAATTATTAATTTGAAAAAAATGGTTAAATCATCTAGGCCTGCGTGGTTTTAACAATTAATCGATTATATTGGTGATTTTACAATAGTTTAAAACACTGACTGATTGCTTTTAAAATTAAATCGATTAATATCGATCTATTGATCAATTATTAATCGATTAATCAATAATCAATTAATTTTTATAAATTTCATAATTTATCATACGTTTATCAGGTTAATCAAGTTAAAACTGAAGCCGCTAAAATATAGTATAAGGTAAAACCTCAATTGTGTCAAGTTATTAAAATGTTGGTTACATTGTTTCTTAGCAAACAGTTATAAGAGATTTATGGTATTTCGATTTTAGGTAGTCCTATAATAGCCCTAATTATACCTAAACTCCTATTTAAAACAATAAAATTTCTTTGTTTATTTTTTTTTAATTTATACATAATATTACTTATGTTTTAATAGTTTTATAGTTTCTTATTTATTTTAGAGGTTTTTTTAAATGTTTTGTAATTTATAAGTGTTACATGTATAAGTACTTGACATGTACAACCAGTTAACAGAGTATAATAAATAAAGATAACAATAAAAATTGTAATTTTACTATCGAATATCCATCATATTAGGGCAATATAATTTACTACTATATTATTATTTTCAAGTTAATCGGTTATTTGGCTCAATTGTTGATTATGAAATTAATTTATTATTTAGAAATAGATTATTGGATTAATCGGATATCCGATTAACTGGTAAAATTGATTAAAACTAATAATTAATAATCGGTTGTGTCAAATAATAATCCCGCAGGCCTAAGATCATCCCATATATATGCACGCTGAATCTAAATACTATGTTTTATAATATTTATCAATTAATTACATTTATCATACTGATCTATATAAAATGAGTAGTTTTTCTATGTTGAATTTGTGAAGGACAAACACCAATTATCAGTACCCTATCAACTAGTCAAAAATAATATTTACCTTTCATTAAAATTACTTGTGATGCTCCAACAGCTGTTACAGTTCTTAGCACAGCACCTAAATTACCAGGTTCACGGATATTATCACAGATTACTGTAATTGGAAATGCATTTTTCCGGGCTCTATGGTCAATAGTTGGCATTTCAAAAATACCTAAATATTTAAAAATATCATTGTTAAATTTAGATTAAATTTTAAGCTAAAATTGTATTAAATGTTACACATTGATTTTATTGCTACCCATTATTCCTTGAGAAGTCTCAGTCTCTGAAAATAGTTGAATCATTTTGTATGGGGCCTTATAAAATATTGTACTTGTGGCTGGTAGATCTCGTAGTTCTTCGGATAAACATATGTTTTCTAAAACTCTCTTCTGGCTAAAGAAAATTTGTTTCGGCTTCACGCCTGCATTCAATGCATCCTGTATCAGACGTTTACCTTCTAAAAGTATACTGCTATTTTGTTGACGTCTTTTTTTGTTTTTTATGTCAATCATGGCTTGACTGAAACAAAACATTAATTTTAAAAGCTATAATTTAACTAATAACAACAAAAATGTCTTCATTATGAATTCATAAATGACACATTTTATGCAGGTCTCTACAATTAATTAAAATTAAATTACAGTGATTAGACTTTATATAATAACATAAGGTTTTACAAATTTAAATAAGATGTGACATGTACATCAAATCTTTAATAATTATTATTATGTAGAATAGCTTAAGTGCTAACTAATTTGATAAGTACTAACCTCAGTAAGGGACTAGTTTCTTTAAGTATGATATATGAAGGGAATCCACTATTATCTTTTTCAACTACTGACAGTACTCCACTTCGCATATGAGGCTTAATACTATTCAACGGGTCTTCATTTGACCGTTTCTTGTCCAACCGTTGAGGGTCTGAATCCTTTACATCCAACCGTTTAACATCAGATGCATATGCTCGTATGGCAGTGACGTTAGACACTGCTCGTCGAAAATTGACCGTAAAACTACTACTGATCGCTTTCATTTTCGACCAATTCGGTTGAAGGGTTCAAATAGTTTCTATGTATTTTATTTTTTATAATTTTGGTATGGCAATTAGTAGATGCCTACCTTTAAATTGTGTATGTTTCGAACAAAACACAAATTAGCAATTACAGAGGTCTATGACAGTAGCTGGCGTGATCAATTGATAATCAATGTGCAAATGTGCAATTCTTTATTTAAAAATTTTAAATTTCAAACGTCTGAGAGGTCCGTTCCGATCCCGGGGGAATTAAGGCATCATATTAATTAGTAGTTATACACAATAATTATTAATCGTTTATTTATTATTAATTTATAACCTGTAAAAACGTGTGGAACTGTAGGAGCATGCCGATATGATAATAGTTATCACTTGTCATTTATCAGCTCAACAAAATAATAACATGACTTGTGAACAGCAGCTGTTGATATTCTTACTACTATTACAGCTGTTTCAGTGTTTATCTCATACGATTGAACATGTGGCGTATTCACGACCATAGTAAATTGTGGCAGTGATTGTCAACTGATAACTTCTAAACTTTCTACAACCTTAATGGCTTTAAACTTAATGGATATCAGTCGACTCAGTCGATGTCTTACCATTTGTGGTTCAATATTCATGTTCTAGTCTTAATAGAAAATTGGAATATTGAGAAGCGTGATTTTTTTCGATACATCAAATAATAATTTTATAAGTTTTATCGATCCCTTTTGGTCTGCATATTTTTATTTAAACGGTCTCCAATTTATCATCGATAAATTCAATATGATTTTTCAGTATTTTTACGTAAATGATAATGGTATTCGTATTTCATTCTAGCAAAAGACATTTTGGTCACAATTTCACTGACAATCACTCTTTGCAATAATGGATTTTCACACTTTACTCTACCAGGCGCAAAAAAACAACACAAGAGACAAAGATGTAAGTATTTCAAAAATTAATATATAGGGTTAAAAAAATATTTTAATTACTAAATTCAATTTCCTGCCTATACATTCAAGTATTAAAACGACCTGTTGACTGTTGTTAAAATTAAAAAAATATATATTATAATATATAGTATCCATGTACATTTATAACTGCCTCCTTGGATGTATACCTTTAAAATATATTATAGCTACCATATTGAACAAGATCTTTATCCGTAAATATGCACTGTGGCTTCAACTTAGGTCTCTCATCTTCCCATCAAACACAAATTAGTAACTGCCATAGTGCAGACACCAATTAATATTTTTAAAGGCCCTCATAAGAAATTTGGAAAATTTTTGCGGGTCATCAATGTTACTAAAATTGGTATAAACCAATGGATAAAAATGATAAATGTACATCACTATAATGTTTAATTATTAGTTTTGAAATTTTTATTAAGGGTTGCCATTTTATGACCCCTGGTATAATGTGTAGACCAGTGAACTTCATCCTATACTATTTTTTTTATCTTTTCAAGTTGAAATATTTATTAACTATTAAATCATACTAATTTCCTTAAATATTTCTACTGCTAAGTGTTGCCAGTGGGTGGCTTCTTACTCAATTKTTCATGCCATGTATTCTCTTAACACATAAACTTATTGTACATTTCTTGTATAGATTGTTTTTTTCTAATATAAAAAAAAAATAAAAAAATATTTCTACTGCACTTGCTTATAAATGCCACTTTATAACAAATAAGAATAGGTATGTTAAAAAAAAACAAATACCTAATTTATTACATTGCATTTTATCAATTTATTGTCACTAAATCATTATAAGAATTCTAGATTAGAAACCAATTTACTTAACAATTTAATTCTGTTCAGGTTAAATATTTCAAAGCGTCATTGGATCCACCAAAAAAAGAAACAAAAGAAAGTAGACAATTATCGGACAGTATTAAGAAATTTTTAGCTAAAAAAGACGAAGAAGAAAGACTCAAACAAATAGAAGAACAAAAGAAAAAAGATGAATTAATATCATTGCGTAGTCAAGATAGGAAATCATTCAAAAGGGTCCAGTCTATGTTAAACCGAACTAAATCAGCAAATAAATCTGTTATTGAGGATGCCAAAGATGATGTTAATACTTCTGTTACGATGGCTGGTTTGTACATTTACTTCTTATTTTATAATTATAAATATCTTTTTATAGTGCTCTAATTTATAATGTTGTTAGTTATAATCACAGTAGATTATAATCTAATATTTTGACAGTTAAAATAATAATAACAAAATTAATTGTGAGTTATTATTTTTCATGATTTGTACTTTATACATTTAAAAATTTTCACTGTCGTTCCGTCATCTTTGTAACTCACATTGTAATTTATTTGATTACCTATATAGTATTATTTATAATTTGTTTGTTAATTTAAGTTTTTATTTTTAAGAGTATATTTGTTAACTTAAAAAGTATTAATGAGATACCTATAAGATTTTACAAGTAAAGTTCGATTTACTTCTTTGCTATATTTTTTTTTTCAATATGTTTTGAGGTAACAACTATTTACTCTTTTAATAGTTTTAAAATTATTCTTCGAAAATGAGAATAAATATTAAAAATAAAACCAAGTGATTGAGAATTTAAATATATTGATATGAATAACATAAAATACGTAGAACAATTCAGTGGTTTGTTGAAATTGTTACGAAATACAATTCTGCATGTATTCCCCAGTTTTCTAATTAGATAAATCTTATCATTAAGGCTGGGATTTCGATGCACTTTGCATTGTTTTCCAAAGCTTACTGTGCGATGCTCGTCTGGTCACAAATTTGTTTTATGTACTTATGAATGAGAATAAGAAAGTTTATTTTATATTTTTTGGGATTTTTTAGTTTTTAGGTAATTTTCTTAATTTTTTAGGGTATTTTGGAGTTATTGGAGCATTTTTTGAGTTTTTGGAAACCAAGTATGAAATTATTGGAGTATTTGAAATTTAATTTTAAGATTTTTACGCCAACATGGTTTTTATATAAATATGAGAGATTATAAGTAGCTAGGTACTCATAATCCGTATTATATTATTGGACAAGGTTTGAGTAAACACTATCCGTATTTCCTGTTAAATAATCTTAAGTCGGTAAAATCGACGTTTGACGTTCAGTATGAGTTTTTTTGCCGTAAACACCGTTTTATTACTCTAGTTAATTTTTTTGGGGTTTTTAGGGAATTATTTAGGGTTTTTAGGTCATAAATGCATTTTTTTAAGGGCATTTTTTGGGTTTTTTAAGGCATTAAAATCCCAGCCCTACTTATCATATTAATTCGGTTACAAAATTATATGATATAAGACAGTCATACGCGAGTTTTATAAGTGTTTGTTGATTGGGAAAAGTTTATAGATAGTAACTATATGTTTATAATCATACTTTCTTTTTTTAAATTTCAGGATTAACGGTAGATCGCCCGTATCATAGATTGCATACAACATAACTACTTTCTTTATTTACGAATTAAAAAAAATAAAAATTAGTTGGATATAAACTAATAAATTAAGTTATTTGTTATAAATATTAGATACCTATAAATTTTTTGTCTTAAATTTAATTCAACACTATTAGATTTTTTAAATAAAGTATCTATACCTTGTTCCAAAAAAGAAGACACCAGATTTACGTAGCAAAACCGAGTTTACCTATAGTYGCCTGGTGTCTTCTCTTTTGGAACAAGGTATACCTATTTCATATTAGATATTACACTTATTCAAATGTTTGATAATTGATTATTTATAGGATTTAATCAACCGGATGAAGATGACTATGGTTATGTTTCTAAAGATGCCATGGCCATCTATAACAATATTATGAACAAATATGTAAATACTCCGGCTGATTCAAGAAGTACAAAAACTCCTAATCACAGAAGTCACGACATATCTGGTACTAAAGTATGTAATTTGGCTAGATACAAATATAAAATAAAACTTATTACCAATATAGATTTAAACAAGTAAAATTTGTATTGTTATTGAATTTATTGATTGTTTTGACACTGTTATATTAAATTTATCTTAATTTAAAATGTATTTAGCTTAGCATTTTCAAAAAGTTTCACAACTTTTTTCATAGTTAAATTAGTTTTTAATTTTACTCTAGATATTAATATTTAATTATCAACATTATAATATAAATAAAATAAAAATTTCAAATCTAAAATTAATATTATGTTTAAATATTAGTAGAAATGGAAATCTATTCTATTAATTAGTCATATCTATTTAACTTTAACTATAGTTTATAAATGAGAAATTAATTTTTAAATGTTTATAGTCTATCAGAAAGAAAATAATAATGTTATACTGATATACTAGCAAATAAGTAAAATAGTTTTTATATCATAGTACCTATTTATAATTTATCATTTGTACTATAAGTAGGTATTTAATAATTGTTAGTAATTAATATCAAAATAATATTTAAGATTACTCATATAGCAACATTTAATGATACATAAATGAAACATATTAATTTCAAACTTAACACTATCTCGCCATTATAAATATAAATTGTCATCAGTTTTAAAATCAGAAATTTGAAAAACATATAAATATGTAATTGCATGTAATTTAAAATTGTATTTTTATCATTATTAAATTATAATTTTAAAATCATGTTCAAAACTATAAAATTTCAACTGTTTTAATTTCTTTTTATAGTTGTTTAATAATGAATAATGATTATTTAATGATTTTTAGGATAGAGTTAAAGCAGCTTTGCTAAAAGAAGAAGAAGATCAATTGTTGCCACATAAACGAAAAAGAAAACCTAAAGATCTAGATAATGCTGAAGATTACCAGGATAGTGTCGAGGAAAAAAAATCCAAACCTGATATAAATACAGAGAAAGTAAAAAAACGGCCAGCACAACCTCCACCATTAAATTTTCAAGAACTACTTAAGATTGCTGAAAAAAAACAATATGAACCTATAATTATTGAAAAACCTAAAAAAGAAGAACCTTTACCTATGATGACCAAGAAAGAAAGAAATAAATATTTAGAAGAAAAGAGAATTGAAGAGATGCGATTAGCTCGAAGACAAGGCAAAAGCTTACCTATTACTGAAAAACCCAAAGAGATGAAACCAGTTGAGAAGATTCAAAAAGTATCTGTATCTTCTTCAAAACTTGATATTCATGCAGAAGATAAACTGAAAAAGAATGCTTCTGTATGGTCTAAAGATTTAAAAATTAGTAAAGAGTTGAATAATAATATTAAAAATGATAAATATATACCAAGGCCATTAAATAATTCAGAAAGCTTACGAATGAACTCAAATGGGAATAGATCCACCTCTAAAAGTTCATTAGAACAACATTTGTTGTACGAAAAGAGGAATAGTTCTAATGATGAACAATATTCACCAAAACCAAAATCAGTCAAAGATCAATATGTACCCAAAACTATAAATTCTATTGAAAATAAATATTCGACAAAACCTATAGGTATGCCAAATAATGATAAATATATTTCTCAATCTAGAAGTTCATCATCTGACAAGTATTCACCGAAACCCAAGAGTTCAATGCCATCTGATAAAAATGTGTCAAAACCAACCACCAATGAAAGATATGTGCCAAAATCAAGCATTCCACCATCTGACAAATGTTCTTCAAAACCCAAGAGTTTAATGCCTTCAAATAAATATGTTTCAAAACCAACACCCACTGAACGGTATGTGCCTAAATCAAGAAGTCCACTATCTGAAAAATATTCTTCAAAACCAACATCCATTGAAAGATACGTACCTAAACCAAAATGCTCTGCTGATGAGAAATATTCTCCTAAACTTAAAAGTTCTGTACAACCGGAAAGATATATACCTAAAGGAAAAAGCTTATCTTCATCAGAACAATATACACCTAGTGCAGTTAAAAATTCAAATGAAAAATACAAACCTAGACCAATGTCATCTCAAAGCATGAAATCTAAACCAACCAGCTCAAATGATAAATATGTCCCAATGCCAGTTGATAAATCTACAAAGTTACAGATGGGCAATAATATTAAACCTAGGCAACTTCCACCTAAGGAAATGGTATCTAAACAATTTCCTCCTAGAGATATGATACCTAAGCAGTTCCCTCCTAGAGACATGGTGCCTAAGCAGTTCCCACCCAGGGATATGATCCCTAAACAATTCCCACCTTCTGATATGAGAAGACGAGATGACCGACATATGCCAATTCGCAACAAACGCCAAGTCATTGAATCAGATTCGGATGAGTATGATTCTGAATTAGATGACTTTATTGATGATGGGCCTGAAGACGAAGCTGATTACTCAAAAGTTATTTCAGAAATTTTCAAATATGATAAATCAAAGTAAAATTATTTTATTCTAGGTGTTAAGCTCTTTATGTGAGTTGTAAACAATATTGTTTTTTATTTTTTAGATATAGAGGAATGGATGAAGATGATGAATGTATGGAGTCTGATTATCGTACTCTTCAAAAAGAAGAATATAAAAGTACTAGAGCTGGTAAGGCATATCTTATATTATACATTTAATCTATACATATGTGTTTTTCCAACCTTTATAGAAATAACATAATATTTATAATTTGTTGTTAGTTACAAAAATGTATACTCCGTCCTACGAGAGTCCAACCGTAAACTGCGCATCTCCCACCATGGGCATCATTCCTACTACTCGGCAATGTGTATACAGTGGTATGGTTCGATGCATAACTACAGACAGGTTTTTGCAGTTGGTTTACGGTCGGACTCCCGTGGGCTGAAGTATAGAAGTCCCATTCGTACAAGTTGAAAATGTTTACAATTATATAATTATTCAATAATAACTTAATTAGCTGTATTATTTTAGATTCTGAACGATGTGAGGAATGTATTGATTTTAAAATGATGTGTTTTTTTWAAAWTTTTTTTGTGTGTGTCATCATGTTTCGGGGTAGAAATAATGCATCRATTTTTGACTTCAGCCCTTCTTTGAAAAAGAAAATTCATCTAGTTGGTACTGAGGAGAGTCAAAAGTTAATAGTTTTCAAAAGCGTCATGAAAAACCTTAAAAAAGTACAAAAACGGGAATTTTTACGCATAATCAGTTTTCGACAAAAAATTTTTATTTTGCTGTAACTCAAAAACAAATCATTGTAAATACTTGAAATTTCCACCAAATGTTTATATTAGCGTTACCTATTTACGGTTAAATTTTCAAATATTTTTACATTTTTTAAGCTATTTATAGACAGTTGAAATTTTCGATTTTTCTAAGTTTTTTTTTATTGAAATGCCTAAAAATTTTAGCCATCCAAAAATTCCTCAAAATTTTATAAAAGTTGAAAATTCATATCATTTTTGTGATTTATACCTATAATTAAAAAACCCTACACAAGATTTTCCATAACTTTTCCTTCAAATAACTGAAAAAAAAACTCCAGAGTCAATGTAGAAAACATTTTGCGAGGGTATAAAAATATATTACAATTTAAATATAGGTAATATAATATATTCTAGACTGACAAATCATCTCTGTTCAGAATCATTTTCCGTATATAATGATACCTGTCATTGCATTCAAATTTAACACATCTATTATAGTGACCTACTATACAGCAGAGCGATACCCACTTGTCTACTTTTTTTTAATATTAACTTTATTGCTTATAAATCTTTTTTTATTTTTTTTACAGGACTTTTAGAAGATTTAGCAGATATTCGAAGAGAGAAACAAATGATGAAGAAGCGAAAAAAATTATAATGTTGAAACCAATTACAATTTTACGATATATATTTTTAATATCTTAATATATATAAGCWTGTTTTTAAAGGTTTACTAACCTTCACTAAGATATATTTTTGATGTAATTAATATATGTATTTTTTACAATGTACATAGGTTAATGTTACTCATTCAAATCATTTTGGTTAAGCCTCTACATGCTAAAAACAGTTTACTTGCTAGGCACTAGCCATTTTTAGTAAACTGTTATTTTTAGCATATTTTTTAATCACAAATTTAATTTACTTTTGTGATTCTTGATTCTCTTTTGATTATGAATTATCATTAGGTATTTTCTTTATTTTTAAATATTATTATTTTGTTTATCTTTTTATGATAGACATTATTTTTTCCAATATTTGAGTAAATCATCATTAAATTATTGTTCCAGATTATGAATATTATTGTGATAAACTTATAAATATTAATAAATTGTTTTGTACTATATGATTATAAGTTTCTGGATGTTTGTATGATTTAATAAATTGGTTTTCAATTGTGATTACCTTTTTCTTTAAAATTATTATATTATAAATTATTGAAATTTTAAAAATTTCAATAAATTAATATTTGTATTTATATCAATAAATTTGTACTTAGTAGTCAAAAGATTTCAAAGTTAAATTATGTTAAATAATAGTACAGTTAGAAATAAAAATGTTTGTCTAATTAAATTACTTTAAAATTAACCACTGAGTGTTGGAAAATATTTCATAGCAATGTTTTAGATAAATATAATATCATGTAATAACTAACAAGATATGTTTACTTCAATTATATATTGTCATTGTATAATTGAAGTAAACATATCTTTTAGATAAATATAATATCATGTAATAACTAACAAGATATGTTTACTTCAATTATATATTGTCATTGTATAAATTACTAAAAATTTAATTTTAAGTTCTTCCAGATTTTTTCATGTATGTGGTAATAGTAGGTTTTAATCTTTTGTGTCTATCATTCAATAATATGTCATATTTCTTTACTTTATTTAGTTTGAATAATAATTTTTGTGAATTTATAGGCGGTCATTTAGTTGAATATTGTTGGTGGTTGTGGTTGCATTATATAAAGTTGAAGGTGAGTGTACCATGATAACTATTTACCTGGTCTACAGGTATACATAAGATTCTATATGAACTATGTTTATAATATGTGATGACCAAATTTCTTTTGTCAATTGATTTGTGTATATTTAATAATATAAATAATTGTTATAATTATAAACATGTTAATTTTTAATTTTTGTTCAAATTAAGTAATATTGTAAATACACCTGTCCATGTGTATATTTTTCACTTTTGATTAAATAAGAAAATGTTAAATTGTTGTTATTTGTATTGAGTTGTATAGGGATAACATAAATTATTTGTTTTTGTTTTAAAATAAAAATTTATTATACTTTATTTTATGAGTAAAATAAATTATTACTCCATCTGAGTTGTGTATATTTTTAAGTACTCAAATAATTTCAAATTTGGAATGCCCAATGTTTGAAAACAATTATTATTGTACAATTTTACAATAATGTGAATGTTTTGTGTTTGTATACACGGCATAAATTAWAGAACAAATGTTTAAATCTTCAACTTCTGATTTCTGATACCAAATTAGATTWAGCTAGTTCTTTGACAGWTGAAAATTTAAAATCTCCAATATTTTAAAATAACAACAACAACAATAATTCAAAATATCCATCATATATTCTATACATCTAGATATAACCCAATASACAAAGTTAAATAACTCAATAAATACTTGTCCAAATTAGATTTTGATACATCAGCATTTCAAAAACATTCATTTTAAGAAAAAAATAGGAGGTGATCAATTGAAATATAGTTAAGGAATATAAACATAAAAAAAGTTACAATGTATACTTTTCTAACATTTTCGACATTCAGAATTCATATAACTTTGGGAAAAAATGAAGGTGAGCATAGTGCTTGGTGCTTGGTTAATAATGACAAGACTGGGCAAGTTAATGTTTTTTTAACTCTCAGTTAAGTTAAATATGTTTGGTTCAATTAAATTAAAAGTTAAGTTCAAATTTTTTAATTAATGTTATTTTCAATTAACTTTAAAGTTAAACAAAATTTGTTAACTTAACTTCAATTAATAAGTTAAGTAAATAAATAAAAAAGAAATTTGTTGAACAGGTTTTAAAATAAGTGAAAATCACTTTATAGTAGGTAATAAATCTATGAATATATGTATGCACTATGCATAATATATTAATATGATATTATAATTTAAAAAACTGTTGTAGGGCTGTATAACGTTATAACTCTATTTAATATGTATATTTCACTCTGGAGTCTAGGTTGTTTTAATTTTAGTTTAAATGYGCTTACTTTATTATTTAACCTTTACAATTCAAAAATAAATTACTCAAACATTTAAAAATAAGGTATAAAAAAAACTAGTAACTATATTTTTTACTTATAACTTTTAAATATTACAAATATTATATTTGTATATATATACATATATATATATATAATATAATATAGAAATATATTTATGTATAATATAATATAGAAATATATTTATTTATAATATAATATAGAAATATATTTATTTATATGTAAGATTTGTACTTTGCTGCTGGTTTATACAAATTATTTGTTAAATTTCAATAACAGAGTCATTTAAAAATTTTGATCTGCCACTGAACCTCTTATTTTGTTGAGCAACACTCCTCAATCGGGTGAAACACGATTGCGGACGCTCTACCTTTTTTGCAACACGACTGCGGACGACCACTGTATAGTGTATGACAAAAGGTTTTATATTGCACATTGCACCCAATAAATGATACGACTCCGGACGAAATTTATTGAAACGTTGCCAAGTTGTGCAACGCAGTCTAACGAGCCCAACGATTATCAATTTAATGATAGGCTTATCGACTATCGTTTGAATGGCTAGTGAGCACCGACTACAACGCTGTTTAAGATATTAGATAATATTATATTATATAGCTAATAATAGGAATAATAATAATACAAATATTCTGATAAAATGTTTTGACAGTTTTCCATAGTTTGATAAAAACACTATATAATAGAACACTATAACTACGGACTACGAGTGTGCAGCTATTACTGCAGTACCTATTTAACAGAAATGACTTGTAACTGCAAACTACATTTRMTATTTTAATACGCTCAGAATTCCCATATTCCCACATTATCGAAGTATTATTTATAAATTTGGCAACATGTGTCCGCAATCGTGTCATTTTTGGGTGTCCATCATTAAAGTATAATCGTCCGCAATCGTGTTATCAAAAAGGTAGCCCTGATAAGATCCGCCCGCACTTCCGCAGTCGTGTATCACCGGAAATAACTTTCAAGCAAACGATACATTTTTTTTTTCAAATAACATTAGATACATTATTAGCTAGCAAATTGCTCATTTGGTGTTCCTTCCTGAACAATTAAATAACTGTAAAATTAAAATGTTTCATGTTATCTTTCCAGGTAGGTATAATATTTTATTTTCGTTATGGTTAATTCCATCTTTGGGAGTGATATGGATTAAGTTTATGATGGGTTTTTTAATTTAGAACTTCCTTGAGTTTTTACAAGTATTGTAGATTTTAGTTAATAAAAAAGTTTAAAACCTTGTTTAAATATACCTCCACAGTTTACAGAATATATTCTATAGGCTGGCACCATCAGATTTACCTATTACTTCAAGATTTATGAACGTGAAAAAAAAATTGAAAATGAGTACTAAAGCAGTAGAATGTATTTTTAACTTTTATTATTTTATAATAAAAAGATAAAAATATTTATATATATATATATGGCGTAGCCACTTCGTGAAATCGATCTTTTCATGAAAAGATGACCATTTCGTGAAATGGAAACACGGTTTTTACATTTTGTGAAATTCAAAAATATTTCACGAAATGGTCAGTCAAATTTAACACCATGTAATTTTTTTCACAAAGTGGTCGTTCACTTTATGTACTGAAATACAACATTTAACAACTTATTCTACCCTTATAGATTTAACTTAAATAATTATGTATAATAATAAGTTTATTTATATCATATTAATTTATTAACCGTATTGAAAACATTTTTTGTTTATTACAGCAGGAAAATGAAATGTGACAACGACTGTTACATTTTAGACTATCTTTAAAACAAACACATCTTTTGATTTGACAAACACTTTTACACGAACAACTTAAAAATCCCTGACCTSCAGATACAATTTGGACAGTTCCACGCWARGTTAATTCTTTATGATCATCATTATGATTATGACTTTTATCAAAATCAATAAATATTATTTACACATTTCAGATAGTCTGGTAATTACAGTATAATACTATAATAGTCGTATATTAGAATAATTTAGATATTATTTAAATATTTATTATATCATTTGACATGGGCACGAGGTTAATAATATGGATATAATCAAATTTGACGTTTCCGTTAAGTTATTCGTGTAAAAGTGCTTGTCAAACCAAAAGATGTGTTTGTTTTAAAGGTAGTCTAAAATGTAACAGTCGTTGTCATAATTCATTTTCCTGTTCTAATAAATAAAAAATGTTCACAATACAGTTAATAAATTAATATGATATAAATAAAGTTTATTGCTATACACAATTATTTAAGTTAAATCTATGAGGATAGAAAGGTAGAATAAGTTGTTAAATGTTGTATTTCAGTACACAAAGTGAACGACCACCGTGTAAAAAAATTACACGATATTAAATTTGAGTGACCATGAAAAAGTGACTATTTTGTGAAATATTTTTGAATTTCACAAAGTGTAAAAAACGTGTTTCCATTTCACGAAATTGTCATCTTTTCAAGAAAAGATCGATTTCACGAAGTAGTTACGACAGATATATGTATATATTATGGGAGAGAAAGTTACATAATTTTTCTTTGCAAATTTCAAACGCATAAAGAGTTATAGTCAATAATTTTGATTATTCACAATAATAATATTATGTTGTTTACATATTATTTTATTATTCCATGCGGAACAAAGATCTACCAATTCCATCTCACTGTTTACATTTCCTTACTTTGATGTATGTATTATACCATTGATTATAAATACTAGTATGTAYTAGTATTTATAGTACTAGTATTTTTTATAATCAATGATTATACTATTATACCAATATAAAAAGTGGATAACAGTGCACCTAAATTGCCTATCCATAACGCCGTGTAACCAAAATATTGTTTCATATTATATTATATTATTATTATAGGTATTGCTTTTAAAAATTTA